AAAAGTTCTCCCATGCTTTGAAACAAAGAACCAACACTGCACCAATGAGTACGACACTCCAGTTCAACTTATGCTCAGAAAAAATTGGGTGGTCAATATGTTCTGAATTGTTTTTGAAATTCTGTTCTTGAAAGACAACCCCCTTTTTTTCAAACTGAGTTCTTTTAAAGTCCAAAATCTTCTTATTTGCATGCTCTTAGTTTGTAATACAACTCTGTTTTCAATTGTAGAATGTCTTCTATATAAAAACAGTTTTTCGTAAACAGGTCAGTCTTCAATGCCCAAAATAAACTGCTTGGGGAATCCATTTCAGCAATTATCTCTGTAGATGCTGTAGAGGAACTGTTTTTCTTTTAAAACGACAACTTTTGAAGTTTAACCCAAAAAGTATCTTTATGAATGTAAAACTTTGAGTTAACACAGCTTCAAAACTTTAACACAATTTTTTTTTGAAAAAACATGTGGATGATTAACAAAATATAAGGGGTTTTTCCTAATGAATCTTTTCCTAATGAATCCTAATGAATAGAAGAGTAGTATGGTGACTGGTGAGTTAAAAAGTTCTTTTTAAAAAAAAAAATCCCTCAAATAGATAGATACATGCCTTAACAGATTAATTAATCTAGTCCAAAAATTTAGAAGTTTAAATGCTCAAGCTCTCAAATTTTGTAAATCATTTAAAGGGAGGATCCCCTCATTTCCTTGAGCATTATCCATTAAATTCCAACTGAAAATAGGAATGGGTTCAGTATACTTACCTGGAATGCGTAGCTTAGTCTGTTCTTTTACTTTCTTCGGACACAAATAGTCAAGTTAAGGGCATATATTGAAGACTCTGCCAGCATTTTGTACCCTAAAAGAGCAGCAATATCCCCTCTATTTTTGGTCAAGCCTTTGTAGTTATAACTGTAACATCCAACCTTCTTTTTTTTTCACAATTCACACTTTGCTTTTCTTAAACCCATCTCTTTGGTAACACAATTTAGGCTCTTCAAGGTAATCTGTGAAGGATAGGCACCTATACTTACTATCGACATTTTTCAAGCTTTTTTTTACACCTCAAAAGTGCGTATTTAACCCTCCTTTGTAATTTCAGGTTCTCCATTTTGCTTCTGTACCTACAAGTACTAAATCCATAGTAGAGTATAGCATTCAAGGGAAATTGATGTCCTTATAGTTCCATGTTAATTGAAGGTTAACAACTATTTTTTTTCAAATTTTTTATAAATCATTGGTTATAAGCTTTTTTTTTAATTTTTTTTGTTTTGAAGCGAACCATTTTTTTCCTTTTTCTTTTTTCTGGAGTTTTCTTTTTCAGGTTCTTTTTATTGTTTTTCATGTTTATTGATTTTTTTTTTGAAATAAAGCAAACTGAATTTCATTAAAAAAATTCTTTCCCCGGCAACGGTGCCAAAATTTGTTAGGCGTGTCGTAGCACCTACAAATTAATTTATTATTTTCTTAACTTTTAACCCCCTTTATGATTCAATATTTATCAAAACATATAGATAGGGTAAGTAAGGGTCGATCCCACGAGGAAAGATACTTTTTAAATTATGAAAATCAGTTCACTTGTCACTTTTATTGACTAAAAACTAACTAAACTAACAACTAAAACGAAACTAACACATATGGGGGGTTTGAAAGATAATTCTAGAAAGATAAAAATGTAAATGAAATAAAGATAAAAGATACTCCGTAACAGATAAGAGATACGAGATGAAACCACGGCAGTAAACCGAACTCAGAAGTAAACTCAGGGAAGAAACAATCACACAAACAAACACATAAAATAATCACACCTTTAAACTTTATAAAACATAGACAATAATAATTAACTTAAACCATTTTGAAAATACTTATAGTTTTTAACAGAAAATAAACTGAACAAATCTGATTAATCAATTAATTATGTCTTAATCCTGAAACTAAACTGCTAATTAAACTCAGGGTTAAGCTGAAGAAGAGATCCACCTGCGGTTTGTCCATATTCTCCTTAATAGTATAGTCTATGTTAAGATCTGCCCTAAGGACCCTACTATTCTTAACAACCCAAAGACTTGCCCCCAGATTTAATTAAAAATAGAGCCTTAAGTTCTTTGGAAATCATCACTTAACAACTATGCAGTAAACTATATCTATTTAACATAGCAAACTTGAAAACTCTGATTAATAAAAACCGGGTGAGAGCCAATTAAGTATTAACCAGGTGACACTTGTGTTATGAAAATCTCACCTATAAACGTACTCAAGATCTTAAAACTGTCAATTGGAATTAGAGTTTAGGCAGCCGTCCTAAATTGATCTAATCCAAATTGAAACAAAGACCAGTTTTCAAACAACTTTTTGAGTTTAGATTTAACAGTAGTGTAGGGCTAAAATTTCTTCAAACTCAAATTAATTCAACAATATCTACCAAATCAAGATTCAATCTTTTTTTGTCAAATACTTTGGCCTAACAAGGTTTTATAATTTCAAAGACAATAATTAATCAATAAACCATATTTGAACAATTCAGCGTCAACACACAAACAATTCGTCACTTATAATATAACTTAGGCATTCAAAACAAAAACAAGATTTGAAAAAGCATAATTCAAACATATTTTATGTAGGAATCAAATTCATCCATTGGAAAGTCAACAACAGGAAATCCTACGGAGAATTAGAATTTTTTTAAAAAAAACTTGAGATTAAGGAAAAAAGTTGCACCCTGAGGTTGTCTTCTTCGTATATTTGTTGCTCCAGAGCCAGTGTCACGCCGTCAGCATTAGCCTTTGCCATCCCTGCTAGTCCGCCGCTGCTATTGCCATCGCCGGACGCCGCGCCAGACGCCGCGCCGGACCTAGGGTCGAAACCCTAGGTCGGCTTTCTGTCTTCNGAGAAGGAATCTGTTTAGTGCGCCTTCTTCTTCGGCGATTTTAGTTGCTCTGCATCTATTCTCACGTTGGGGTTCTTTCTTTTTACTCCTTTTTTCTATTTTCCTTATTTGCCTTGATTTTGTCCATAGTTTTAAAAACCGGACCGGACCGGCCGGTTCGGACAGTGAACCGGCGAACCGGTGGTCCAACCGGTCCGTTCCAGTCTATCGGACCGTAACCTGCTTCGAACCGGCCCGAATCGGTTTAAACCGGTAAAAACCGGCCGGTCGGACCAGTCCGCCCTTTTTTTTTTTTTTGCTAATTTTTTCCAAAACATGCATCCATGGGTGTTTGAACCCAAGACCTTTTATACGTTTGGTTGAGTTCCTAACCATCAAACCAATGGTGCTTTTTGTTACAAGTTCATATAATCTTTTATAATATTTCATAATTACAAAAAGATTGTATATAAATTCCTTTTCAATTTTATAAATATAATATTATATAGCTATGAGTCAAACACAAAATCATTGATATTATTGATACTATTACAAAATGCAAATCATGCAAAGATTTTGTTTATTTAATATTAAACAACTTATTTGAAAAAAAATAAAATCAACATTTAAAATTCTTTTATATTTTTTTAATATGTAAATTTTATTTTTTAATTTTATAAAATAACTCAAGTATATTAATATAATATTATTTAAATTTTATAAATTACTTTCTTTAGATATTTATAAATGAGAATGTGTGTGTGTCTATATGTATGTATGTGTGTGTAAATATATATACATATACATATTCACACACACACACACACACATATATATATATATATATTTATATATATATATATATATATATATATATATTTATATATATATATATATATTTATTTATTTATATTTATATAATTTTTAAATATGTTTAAACCACCTGTTCAACCAGTTGAACCACTGGTTCGACCAGTAAACCAGTGAACCAGTACCTTGACCGGTTCGGTCACCGGTCCGGTTCTGAAAACTATGATTTTGTCAAATAACTACACTCGAATCCCTGCGTTGCACGGCGTAAAAAAAGTTACAATAATTAGGGAAATTATTCATGTTGGAATTCGATATGATTCAATTAAAATACGAATATAAAATGAAATATTCAAGGGGAGGAAGTATACAATCATACAAATTGTGGAAGTATTACATTATACGTTTTGGAAAACTTCTTTATAATCTACATTGGTAGTTTGATTCATCTTGCTTTGGTCATCGTAGTCGGTTCCGGCTTGGGAAGTGGCATTGGCGGTGGGACCATTACTGGCATCGTAGGTAGTTCACGCTTTGGAAGTAGCGTAGGCGGTGGCATCGGTTCAGACGGCATTAGTGTTTCTGGCATCGTAGTCAGTTCAGGCTTAAGAAGTAGCATAGGCGGTGGGACCAGTACTGGCGGCAAAGGTAGAAGAGGCGGCGGTGGGGGTGGAAAACTCGCACAATGATCACAAACAAAATATATACCCCATCCAACATCTCCAATTCCCAGGCAATCAAGATGACCAAAAACATTTTTGCATACCCAACACATTTCCATATCAAGTGATTTTTCGTTACTTTTGCACTTGTAGCATGGATCACCTAAACTTCCAATTCCTCCTATATTGTTAGAAAAAATTCCATTTATTAATATTAGACAAAAAAAGTTTTAAAATATAAAATAGTTACAAATAATATTGACATAATAATACAACAAATATATAACAAAATCGGGCCAGGTTTTTAAAATAAAGCCTAAAATTTTTTTTGAGCTCAGTCCTCCGTCAACCATGTATATTCGGCCCACACAAAAAAAACACTCTCTATTTAAAATTAGCCTAATATTGGACCGGCCCAACCCTTTCCCATTTTATCCCTAATCTCACCCGTGTAATCTCTCGGTCCACTCATTCTCCGCCGCATCCCACGTCTCTCTGCATCTCTCTAAACTCTGTTGGGAATGGTTGCCGGCGGTGACGGTGGTTTATCCACCACTACACCCACCGGCGATTTGTAAATCGCGTTCCCTACTATTCTCTCTACCATTCAATGTTTTAGTTGATGGATACGCTGGAGAATATATACACTGGACCTTCAACGACGGGAACAGAGATCACTGATGCGGTAATTTCGGTAAAATTCATTTCTTACATGATGTGAATCCGTGCCTAACTATATACTCTCTATATTTAAAGATTATTATGAAAATTAACAGATCATTTTATCTTGCTTTGTAATTTGGAGTTGAATTTTATAGATCTCAATCCCACATGCAAAGGACTGTTAGAATTATTTTTCTTAAAAAAATGCTAATTCTTTTGTGAAAAAATATTGGTATATTTCTATAAACCAATTTATGTAGATTTTTTAGACAGTAACCTAATGTTCATATTACTTCTCTGAAATTGTAAATCTGTTTTAAAAAAGCATAGATCCGTGATTTCATCTGAAATTGGTTATCTCTGATAGTGTGAATCTGTTTTAAAAAAGCATAGATCTGGATTTCATCTTTTACAGTTTAAAACTTTTAAAAATCTGCAAATTAGTATAATGTCTCTGGAATCAGATTAAAGTATTTAAAAAAGTATTTGTTTATTTGTAATTAATATAATAAGGTGATTTGAAAGAGTATTTTTCAATGACACTTTGAATGTCATTATAGAAAGATTTCTTAATCACGTGTTTTTAATTCATTTGAAAAATATACCATTAAGATCAATGATTTTTATTGATAACAGTTTAAATGCAGATTTTGAAACTTAGGCAATGTGTTCAGTAATAATGTGAAAGTAGATTAAGGTTAAGTTGATTAAGGATCAATGCCGTGTGTGTGTGCAGATTTAAGAAATTATTTATTTAGTAATTGCCATTTCTGTACACTTATCTAATTCAATTAACACTTAATTTTTTTTTAAAAAAGAGAATCTTTTATATACAGACCTTAATATCCAAAAAAAGTATTAATAGATATTAAATCTAAATAATTTAAGAAATTTATTTATCTGTAATTAAAAAACATGTTTTATATCCAAGATATAATAATCTGATTCACGGAGTATACATTAAAGTTTTCAAACAGCCATTGAACCAAAAAAACATGTTCAATAAACGATATTGAACATGATTAAGATTCAATTGCACATTAACAATATTTTTATGCAGGATATCCAGATTAGAGAAAAAAACTCCAAGGATGGTGTGGTATAAAGAAAGGTATTAAATGTGCGTGTGTGTGTCTATATATATATATATATATATATATATGTATGTATATGTATATATATGTATGTATGTATGTATGTATGTATTTGTTGGATTATGAAATCCATGGGTAGAAGAAAGGAGGAAATGTGTAGAGATGAAGAAGATGATGAATAGTACAGTGTAGCCCCCCTTTCTCCACCTCCTTACCCTCTTCCTAGAAGAGGAGTATAAATAGGGAGAGTAGGGGTTAGGGTTTCGGACTAATGAGTTGGCCCAACAGACTGGGCCGCCCTTAAATACATAATCAACATACAATTAACAGGCTGATCCAACAGACTAGACCGCCCCAACTAATATTATACAAAGACCGGCTAGATACCCCATGTCCAGGGTATCCATCATGAGTCCCCCACTTCCCGAGCCGAGAGGAACTTGAGGTGAAGTGGAAGTAGAACAATAATCCACCACGAAAGGAGACCATCTTCCTTGCTGTCTAGAGCACCGTCAACTCGCTGTCCCGAGCACGGTGAAGGTAAACAACGCCAACAGCCTGAGATGTAATGTTAACTCGCTGTAAAGAAATTGCACCAATCAGTGTCAGGTGCCCTGCCAACTCGCTGCCCGGAGTGGCAAAGTGAATGGGTCTGCACCAATGAGTACGAGGTGCGCTGCTGACTCGTTGTCCGAAGCGGCAAGGTAGAAAAGTCTGCCTCAATCTGCTCATTGTCTCTAAATGATCTGCTCTTGAACAAAGTACATCGTCGGTTCGCTGTTCAGAGTGCAACAGTCACCATAAGAGTGGATGAATAAGTCGTCATTCTCCCACAATCCCGTCAATGTGTGACCCACTCCACGGGGGATGCCTCATTAAAAACTTGCCGAGGAAAAAACCCATGAGGATGGGAAAAAATCCTCGGTCAAGAAAAGAGTACATCTCGTCCCACAGAGTGGATCAAGAAAACATTGTTGGGGTATGAGGTCTTCTGTGTGAATCTCAGAAGTGGTGATCTTCAAGTCCCCTAGACTCGTTGTCCAGAGTTGAGGGCTATTCATCATAGTGTATTGTCGACGAGTGCATGCCGACACGGACTACTACGGTCTGTTACAAGGTCGGGATGTTGATCACCACCCTCTCCTGATGTGAGATGTAACAATCACGAGCCGAGCACCCGGAGTCCCCCACTCCCTAAGCCGAAGAAGAATTCTGAGGTGAAGGGGAGTAGTGTCTATGCTCGGCTCCGGGGGGAGTCTCCGGCCCCTTCACGAGATGGCCGAGGCCGAGGTCGCGTGGATGAGGCCGAGCTCGCGTAAGTTGAAGGCCGAGCTCGAGTGGATGAAGGCCGAGCTCGAGTGGATGAGGGAGTGGATGAGGCCGAGCTTGAGTGTCTGGGCCGAGCTCGAGTGGATGAAGGGCGAGCTCGAGTGCTCCACATGGTGGCTGAGGCCGAGCCTGGCCTTCTCATCTTTCTAACCTGCAAAATAAGTTCAAAAAAGAATATAAGGCGCTTGCGGGCTCGGGCAGACCGATCACCATGCGGCCGAGAAAAGTAAGTTAACGTATGGGTTGAGTCCAAAGTTTTGGACAAAAGATAGGCCTGATCAGCAGAGTGCGCCGATTGTGTAGTAGTCTAGTCTAGAACAAACCTTGATGTCATCCTTAGTGAGATCGGGGTCTTCGAATGAGAGCTACTCGGGTAAGTGAGATCGGCACAAAGGATGCACCCCTCGCCTTAGATCCGAGAGCAAATAGTTCACGTCGTGGAAGACGGATATATAGGAGTGCGTCGAGATGGACGGCTTACCTCGGCCTCACGAATAGTATCGTCGCGGACGATTTGGAGTGCCTCGCGGGGAGGGCTTATCTCAGCCTCGTAGAAGAGGAAACAAAATCGCGTCGTGGGAGACGGATGGGAGTGCGTCGCGGCGGACGTCTTACCTCGGCCTCGTGGAAGAGGAAATGAGATCGCGTCGTGGAAGATAGATAGGAGTGCGTCGAGATGGACGGCTTACCTCGGCCTCGCGATAAAATCGTCGCAGACGATCTTCAGCACCTCGTAGAGAGGTTTTACCCGGCCTCGCTAAGGAATGACTAAATAAGTTGGATCTGAGCCATGCCCTGAGGCAGGTCGCTGGCCTGTGTGGGGTGTGAGATTAAGCTTCACAGCCGTCCCACATCAGGGCTTAAAATGTTGAACACAAAGTGTAATACCATCGTCCAAGTGAGGTCTGATCACATGTGGTGGACAAGGTAATAGTAATAATAATGGAGTAAATGATAGGAATTACCACATTGATTATATGGTAAAAAATAATCATAAATATGGAATAGTTGAAATGATGGTCTAAAAATACTTATCTTTGTGGTATTCAAGGACCCACATGTGAATAGTAAGCCCACTTGCCCAGCTTTTCCTCCTTTACAGGCTGGAAAGAGGGACATCCGTCCCCTGGTGCTGCCCAGCCTTTTCTCCTTTACAGGCTGGAACGAAGACATCCATGCCTGTTATGACGTGGAGCGGTGGACGTTTGCTATGGGGTTTTGCCGATGTTGGTTGCCACGATAGAGGACGGCTCGCCGGAAAGAAGGAGCAGCAACACAGATCTGTTGGGGTGTTGTAAACAGATATACGGCTAGGTATACTCCACTCGCCTAAAAGCTGGACTCCAATTGAAGATTTTTGAACGGTGATCAGAGCTGTCACGACGCCCAAATGAGACGTTGGCCACCTGAGAGAGTGTCGTCAGCATCGACGGATCTGGAGCTACCACGCCGTGACTGGAGTTCGTCCCTGCTCCAGAGCCTTCTTCTTTGGCTGCGCAGTGGCACGATTCCGCGCAGCTCTTGGTCGTTGCGTTGGTACGGTCGTCGCCGGTGGATCGTTGCTGGTGAATCGTTGCCGGCCAGAGCAAAAAGCGAATGCCGGTCGGTGGTCGTCAATTGGCCCCTGGGATGACGGGTCTGCAGCAGATCTACCCTCCTTACTTCCTCCGACCTCACCTGCCGGCGGGAGTCAGGCGGCCATCGGCAGTGCTGCGAGATCTGGTCGGAGACGGGTGGCCCATCCAAGTTCGCTGTTGACTGACGCCAAATTCCAGAGCAACTGAAGCCACCGGAACGCCGCTGGGCGTCGTCGACGGTGGACACTTCACAGGGTCGGGCCGAAAATGGGTTGCGTTTCGCACAGCTTCGTCCGGGTCTAAAGTGGAGTTTGAAATCCTCCCTTGTTGCTGACAGATGTGGAAGGAATTTTGAAAAAAATTCTTCCTCTTGATCGAAGAAAAACACGAATGGAAAGAAGTGTGTTTTGCTTCAGTGTGGACTGCCGATTCAAGTTCACACAATCCTCTGAACGTAAGTTCGGATTTTTCAAGAAATCAAAGAAAAATTGGAGAGAGCACGCTTGATGTGTTCGATACTCTCAATGAAAGCACCAATGTTGGATTATGAAATCCATGGGTAGAAGAAAGGAGGAAATGTGTAGAGATGAAGAAGATGATGAATAGTACAGTGTAGCCCCCCTTCTCCACCTCCTTACCCTCTTCCTAGAAGAGGAGTATAAATAGGGAGAGTAGGGGTTAGGGTTTCGGACTAATGGGTCGGCCCAATAGACTGGGCCGCCCTTAAATACATAATCAACATACAATTAACAGGCTGATCCAACAGACTAGACCGCCCCAACTAATATTATACAAAGACCGGCTAGATACCCCATGTCCAGGGTATCCATCAGTATTTATTCAATTTTATCATTAATAGTAATCGTATTTTTTTAAATCAGGAACACTCTCTTACCTTTATCCGATTCGTTTTCTGAATCATGCATGGGAGAGATTCTTTCTGTTTTGATAAGTTTCCTCATTCCTCTTGACAGAGTTATCACAGGTATGTGTTTGGAACAACTAATTTTTATTAAATCAATATATACAAATTTAAATTAGAATATAAAACATAACAGCGTTTCTTCTAATACTTTGTTTAATGTTTCAAATTAGTAAATTTATAGTTTAATTTTTTTTAGCCGAGATGCAAAAAAATAAATTTCCAAGAATTATTACTTTGACTCCAATGCAATTTCATGTTTTTAAAAGCTAAATGTTGGTTCGAAATTGCACAAATAAATCAAATGTCTTGTATTTCTAAGGTTCGATAAAAAAATATTTCTAAAATAAGAAGAGGGTGAATTACTAACCTTAGAAAGGAAGGATTAATGGTAGTTATGAATGCTCAAGATCACCTTGAATGTAGTTGGTAAGTGGTTGAGAAATAAATGAAGAAAGAAGGAGGGTTAAAGAAGTGTAGTTGTACACCTTTATAGAGTATTAAATGCATGGAAATAAACATGTTATTAGAATAGGTGTGTGACTCAATGTTTGACTCATTTATTACTGCATATAACTTTTTTTTAAATACATTTTTCTTTATTAAATTATTAATAATTATTATCTTACTTATTCTATGTTCATTATAATGTATTTTTCTTTATTGATTTTTATTACATATTCGGTTACAATTTTAAAAGTAATAAAATATATTTACATTATAAGGTCACTGAATATTTTCCAAAATATTACTCCAAAAAATAAACAATGTGTCATTAATGCTACATTGGGCCACACACCTATATTTAGTGATCATTTATGTATATTGTAGCATTTAAGTTTCACAGTTTTTTTGCTAGATTTACTAAATCTTGACCATTAATGCACACCAAACATGCTTGGTAATATTCCATGTACCACTCACATTAAATTCTACACTGTTCACGAAGTAATCAATAATTATACTCTTAGAACCCCACGCCAAGTACAATTTTACAATTAATTTAATATATTTCCATTATTAGGTCACTGAATATTTTCCAAAAAATTTGGATTTAGTATAATTAATTTCCATTTTTTAGAAAAAAACTTTGTGTCATTCTCATAAGTAAGATTTTTTTATATTTCGTATTATAAATATATATATATAAGTTTTATATATTCTTACTTTACTTTTTAAGTACTTTTCAAAATTATATTATAAATTCTTACTATACATATACTCTATATCCTGTAAATAAATTTATAAAATCATATGTTTTTTTATAGAAAAATATACAATATGAATTTTTAACAAATGTTGAAAGCATAATATATATACGTATATATATATATATACTCGGTTTGGGCCATTAATGCTACATTGGGCCACACACCTATATTTAGGGATCATTTATCTATATTGTATGCTTCACGTTTTTTTTGTTAGATTTTCCAAATCTTGATCATTAATTGACACCAAGCATGCTTGGTAATATTTCATGTACCCTCACATTAAATGCTACACTGTAAACAAAGTAATCAATACTTATCATCCTAGAGCCCAACGCCATTTATCATTTAATAGAGCAATCTTATTAAATATTATATATATATTTTTTCGCAATTTATCATAAATATTTTTTCGCAATGTACCAAATATTTATTTTAAATAATTTTTCGTAGTGTATTTATTTTTCCAAACACTATACATTTCTACAGAGATACACATATACATGTATATATTAAAACATATAGAGCCGTAAGCCATTTCATGTAGAAATGAATTTCGTATTATAAATATTAACTTATTTATTGAATACAAATAAGTTGTATAAATCATTTTTTATCTACTCTACAAAATCGTATAATAAATTATTATTATTCTACAAATTAACTCATATTTTTTAAAAGCTTAACAAATAGATATAGATTATTCACAAATCTTGAAAACACCTAGATTTAGTGATCATTTATGTATATATTGTATGCCACACATTTTTTTTTGTTGGATTTACTAAATCTTGACCATTAATGGACAATATACATGCTAGGTAATATTCAATGTACCCCTAACATTAAATGCTACACTGTTCACAAAGTAATCAATACTTATAGCCAAAATCTTAGAGCCCCGCGCTATTTATTGTTTAATAGAGCAATCCTCACGCCATTTGATGTTAGATTCATTTTAAACACACCAAGCATGCTTAACACTTCGTATCAATATATGCACAATCACATTAAATGCATTCACTTCTCATGGGGTTTAGGTACAAAAGACATGCAACACTTTTTTTAAAACATGTGCTACAAAAATCTTTAATGTTTTTATAAATTTATTGTATTTATTGATAAATTAAAACAAATACATATATATACATTATAAATATTTTTTCGCAATGTAATTGTTTTTTCATACACTATAAATATATATATGAAAAATATTTTTATATACGAAAAATATTTTGAAATTTGAAAGCTGCCTGCCCTTTTAAAATTTACCTATAGCTTGTAGGCAACAAAGTATATAGTAATTTGAAATTTGCCTACTCATTTAAGATTGTAGGCAACAAACTTATTCAAATTTCAAATAACACCTCCCCACGCGCATGTTTTAAAATCAAAGTGTCACGCAACGAGAATAACTTAATTCTTGATTAATTAGAGTAGAAAATGACGACAAAACACAAATTCAGAGTACTTTAATACATCGCATAGGAATTACATACCACCTTTTGAAACAAACAAAAAACAAAAACTAACAAAGTTCACAAAGGTGGTTAAAATAGAAGAAATGCACAACACTTCATGGAGCTTCACGGGCCGGCGGGATCCTTCTTGGTTTTCTTGGCCTCATTCGTAGATGATTCATCAAACAGCTCTCTCTTCACCGAGTCATTTTTGACCAACTCACCAATTCTTTTCGACTTGTTGTTGACACTCTGGCTGGAGCTTGGATCACTCCAACCAACCTAATAAAAAACAACACGAATTAGTAACGTATAAATTTAAAGTATTTGGGATAACGTAACCGTGATAGTAATATTACCACTTCATGAACTTTCTGACTCAAATCCTCAAGAGATGCCCACAATCCTTCACTTTCTTTATCAATTCCTTCATCTTCGACAACACTCAAGTCTTTCCAATCACGTCTGCATATTGATAAATATTGATAAATAAAAAATCATTTGCAAAATGCATGAAGGTAAGAAAAGAATGCAATATAGTAAATTAAAAAGAATGAATTGAATCATTTCAATAAAAAAATAGTAAGAAATAATACCTGAAGCAATTTTGGGTTGTAAAAAACAAATGTAATAACTTGTGGAATACATTACATGCTCATCGTGAAAGACGATCTCCATGGAATCTCCACCTTTCGCCCACTTAGGAACGAAGTAAACCCGAATAGCCCTCAACATGAGAATCCAAGTATTCTTATTGCTGTTGAGTTTCGCAATTGGAGTGAACATTGTCATGGAACTCTTTTCGGAATTTTGAGCCATATTTTTGGTATATATGAAATTTACGTTAATGTAAATCTAGTGAAGTGGTGTAGGTTTGGATGGAAAGAGGTGTATATATATTATTTGGGAAAAGAAAGTAAGTTTAATCACATTAAATGCTTGGATTTTGTAAATCTAAACTTTTAAATTGATTAGATGTAAAGCATTGATATGGTACACTTCCACATAAACATTATTACATTGCTTTATGGAGCTACGCACCAAGCCGTCAAACGCAACCCCATAAAGCTATGCCCAATCCAGATCTAAAACTCGGCCCATGTCCAACAGCAAGATCCGGCCCAATTGATGGTGTAGAAATGGCGGGAACACTATTCTTAAGGTCCTCCTACCATTGTATATAGGAGGATAAAAGGCCTCATGGGTTAATTGGGAAACTATGGGTCAAGTCCAATTTTATACTCCAACAAATATAAACATGTTCACAATCATGCATTTTATGTATAAAAAATAAACAATAGTCTAAAATACTAAATTTTAGAAAATATATTTATTTTGGTATAAAATGCATATTATATATATCTTAAAAGTACTAAAAAATGAGTGAATAAAATATAACATTTTGTTACTTAACAGTTGTACCAATGTAATGTGCCGTTGGAGGTATTGTTTCAATGAACTTTATGTTTATAACATGGGTAGAGATAATGTGTTGCTAGATACCGCTTATTGTTTAGAGTATTAATTGTGATTAATACTATTGCCATCGTTATGAAATACCTAAAAGGGACACACATAGAATAATTGAACGGAGTAGAAAATTAGATGGAATAAGGTAAGATAATATGGGACGTGTGACGTACATATTAAATAAATATGTTGACATTTTAATTATGTGATAATTAAGTTTGTCAAATATTATGTGTGAAATAGAATATATATATATATATATATATATATATATATATATATATATATAGAGATTGGTTCTGGTGAGAATGCAATCTTAGGAGAGAAATGAGAAAATGCATCATGTCGAAATGCACCATAAACCTTCGAAAATGCACTATTTCAAAATCTGAGCGCAGGATGCAATCTGAGCCGCACGATGCACCAGATCCGACGGCTAGATTTTATTCTCATTTCTCTCAACAAGGTGCATTCTTACGGAACCGGCCCCTATATATATATATATATATATATATATATACATATATATATATTGATATATATTGATATATGGATGGCGGTGTTTCTAGAGAGAAGGCGGAGCAGAGATTTCTTTTCCCGTCGATCTGATCTCCATAGCCATTTTACACTCAATAACTTTGGTTTTTTCAACTCCCAACGCTCCCATCGATCCAACGGCGACCGGCGGAACCTTCATAGGAAAAGGGAACCACAAAACCGAAGTAGTAGATGGCCATTCCGCGACCCAGGTTTAAAGGATAAGAATGATGCTTATGCTTTTAGTGGTTCTAGACTGGTTCTCAATAATTTTGAAGCTCGACCCTCCGAAATCAAAGTTAGCAGAAATCTTAGATTCAAATTTAAGACACAATCTAAGGTTTTTGAGTTTTTTCACTCATTTTACAATCAAAATTTCTGTGTCTCTGATTACGGAAGTAGAAGATATCATTTATGGTTTGATTTGGACACCATCAAATGGTTATTGGATTCGTTGTCCCTCATTTCCAAATTGAGAGGCAGGGAAACTTCTCTGATTGAGGTGAATAGAAGATTAGATATTAGCTTAGGTTCAAACAATAAAGGTTACTATATCAAAATCACAGAGAGAAGGCGAGAGGGTAAGAGGTTTTTAGTCATCCCTTTTGATTCACACAGGGATGGTCCGAGAATCTTCATCAGGGCACTCTCTAATTTTATTCATAGAGCTACTTCGGTTTGCCCTACACTGCCTTCGGTTTGCCCTACACTGCCTTCGGTGGAGGATAATGTGCAGTTACTGTTTGTTCCAACAGAACTAAAAGAATTAAAGCCAGATACCCATACTAGGCACACCATGGGGCCACCAATCCTGCATACACAGATTCTACTCTCAAAGGAGGTTGAAGAACCGAAAGGGTATAACCACTCAGTCCCTACAAGGGAAGGCAATGGAGAACCAGAATCAGATTCTCAGTCTCCTTTAATAGAATGCAGCTCTACAGACGGACAGATTGTTATTTACAAGGGGGAAGCAGAACTTAAATACCACTTTTCCAAATCTAACAGAGACTTTTTTCCACCTTTGTCAAGACAGATCTTATCTCCTTGTGCACCCCCATTTATACCACTGTCAAACAATACATTTGCTTCTCTCCACAACCAAGATTCAGACCAGGAGTCAAATGCAGC